TTCAGGGAATACAAGTGCATTTGATCAGCATCAACAAAACACGCCATCAAGGTTTACTCCCGGAAGTAAGACAAAGCGAAAGTCAGGTTCCAAACGAAATCAGAACAAGACTAACAAAGTATCTGATCCAGTACCTACGCTAAGCGACGGGAAGCTAGAAAAAATGACCATTAAAGAGCTCAACAAATATACTCATGGGATTCCAAAGCAACAAGCGCAAAAGATTAAGAAAAGGAGACGAATTCTTAAGAATCGCAAATATGCGTTGAAGTGTCGACTGAAAACTGTTCAGAAGAGAACTAAAACGGCAGAAGAAAATAAGTCTCTGGAGAAAAGGATTTCTGCTGCCAAGGAAGAGTTGAAAACAGTTACAAAACAAAGAGATTACTACAAATCAAAATATCTACAGCTTCATGCGTCTCTTGAATCAGAATTCTCTTAAATAATGCAAAGCAGCAGGCAAGACCAGCTGACTGGTCAGTATTTATGCCCTCCTTTCTGCGGTGTGTCGTACTGTTTTTAGTAACTATCTGTTTTATTTCATTTGCATCCAAAATCTAAGAAATAAGAGTTTGTTACTCGCCAAACGTTTCTGGAAGTCCAGTGATTGTGACGGAGTCCAGTATTGAGTTTGTTGTTGTTTATACGCTGTGAGAATTAATTCTGCGTCAGATTGTGTTTAGCAACACTGAATGTGGAGCGAAGCAGAATTGAAACCATGGCCTCAATGGACCTCCGAATACTCAGAGTCTGTCTCAACATCTTAAGCATTTCAAACACAATCAGGATTCTTCGTGCCGGAGGAACAATTTATTCCCAGTTAAAGCAAACTGAATTTTAACATCCAAGACTAGGCGCAAAACACATCAAAAGAGAACTTACAGAGACCAGAGCTGGACCAGAGATTTCTTCTACATAAATTTACGTGGCATCTTATATAGAGTCTTTATGTAAATCAATTTGTATATTAAAACTATTTCCCTCTGTGGCCATTTTTTGGACTTCCGTTCCCGCTGTTACATATACTTCCTCGTACCGCTCAGCTGAACCGGAGAGACAATCGTTTTCATTTGGTACTGATGTAGTTTACTAAGTGTAGTTAACAGGTCAAGAGTTGGCTAAAAAAGGAGTTTGTTTGCCTGCAAATAAAAATGTTTATGTCACCTAGTCACGCAATCATTAATGTTAGTTTAAGATGGGCATTCTTTCCTAGTCACGCATTCAACTTAAACGTAGGTAATAGGCAGGGAAGGGGTGTAAGCAGGGTCCAAATTTGGTACAAAATAGTCGAGTATTTATCACAAGATTATCACGAGATCAATTGGAAATTTACTAACCGGGAAATCACTTGCTGGGGAATTAGCTGCCGCAATATTACTCGCTGTAAAACTACTAGTCACGAGCTCGGGCACGTTAACCGGAAGTGGACTTTTCGCATTCCTGAGCGGTGTTTTTGCCCCAAATGTTCGTCAAATATCCTCTATAACTGTACAGACACTTGATACAAGTTTGGTAGCGTCAAGGCGTGTTGAAGGAAAAGAAGCCTCACTTCCGGTTACCTTTTGCGCTCAAAAACGTCTTTACTTAAAATTCCCAATGCAAATGTAGAGTTGATGCCAGTGTTCACAGGAATAAAGGAAAATATGATCTATTTACTGTCTTAATTTTCAACATTTTTTTCTTTTCGCTCTGGCCACCTTTTCGCTACAAAACTAACAATTTTAGACGGATTTTTCCATCTTAAGAGCATCCGCTGCACACAATCACCTGATATTTCAATAACAATTTAGAGCGTTGAAAGTTTCATTTCAATTACCTAGCTAATTTATACCTTCACACAGCTCGAAGAATGATTTACTTTGAGTCAAATTTCAACCGCACCTGCTGCATATTTAAGGTTAATAGGTTCGAAACCGCGACCTAAGCCTGACTTCTGTTTTAATAACCGTCTCTAGGAAACGTTTTACAAGGAGAAATTATATACATATTAACAGCACCAACAGAAGGGATGTCAAACCCTAATTGGTGTTCACCTATTTTTTATTCACCATCCTTTAATATTTTAAAGGAAGAACTATTGAAGTAATTGTTCCCCGTCGTTTTGTTTTTAAAACGCTGTTTACATTGCTTGCATGTCTTCAAATAAGTATTGCTCAGTAGTCAATTTCGTGTCTAAGGCTGTACTTCTAAAGAAACTAAGGAACAATCCATTTAAATAGATCTTACTATTGTAGAAAAAAGCTGGGCTAGAAACAAGTGCTAGTTTTAAACAGAAAATAATTAAACATAAGACATATAACAGGGGCGGATCCAGGATTTTTTTTAGGAGGGGGTGCACTCGTCTCTTGCTCTACTTCAACACCAATAAACCACATAGTTTTTTTTTGCAGAATACCAGTTGTATTAGAAAACCGCAGGTCATCTCATGGGGGGGGTGCCCCTGCACCCTCCCCCTAGATCCGCCCCTGTATAAAGAAAACATATATAATCATTCACGGAAGTTTGCAGCTGGAGGGAGATAATTGAAGACTGTTTTGTCTTATCGTTTATATTCCGTTGAGCTTTTAAAGTTAAATTTCCCGAATAGAAAAAGTACTAAGACGTAAAAATGAGCTTTTTACATGAAAACCTAGGGTAACGGTTATTTAAAAACTGGGCCTGTTAATAAAATTTGCCAATGTTTAAAGCCGGTGTTGCGTCTCAGATGAAATGTTTAATATACGAGGACACATAGTTACGCTTCTGGATAATCATTCCAACTCTGTATTTTCTGCTTTAAATTTTCGCTCAAACCAGGAGTTGTTTATCTGTAGTCTGAGTTCAAACATAGGAAATGCTTTTTAAAAAAAGACCACATTTGATATAAAAATTCAGCTTAATGGAGAGTCTTGGCGGACACATTAAACAAAGAAAACAAATAACCATAATCATTTATTTATTGATGTTTTTGTTTCGTGTTCTCCAGGGCTCGCTATCATACTGAATTTTAATATATCGAAAGTGGGCTGTCGGTTATAAACTGTCATGTTTGTTTAGAAAAGTCCCTTGAAGATGTATGATAAAAAATTTGCCATATTTTAACTTAGCTGTCCCGGTTGGCCTTATTACGCGAATATATATATTTTTAAGGATTAACAGCAGATATGAAGTTAGAAATTTTCTGCATAATACAGGTTTGTGTTATCTTTTTCATATTTCCAACTGCCATTTAGTCAGGCAAAAGCGTTTTCTCCAAGCTGGTGATGCTCTTTTTTAACTTTTCTTTACAGAGTCTCCTAGCTGGTACAAAGGCAACTGTTAACTGTAAGTGTTAATATGTTTTTGGTGTGGTAGACCATTTGATTAGAATCCAAGCTAAAACTTGAAAAGTCTTTCTAGTATCCCTACTCTATTTCGATTATTAGTATCATAGTTTTATGATCATTTTTGAATGAAATAATCCTGCAGTTTCATTTTCTTAATTTATGCCCCGGTTGAGATGATCTCCTTAAATAATTCACAGGAGTTTGGTCCTTAAACAAATTATAAAGCCCCTTAATGTTTCCGTTAAATTCGTTTCGTTTCATCACGAACGGTACAGAAAACGTTTATTAATTGAAGAGATATTTTTTGTGTTGAAAGCCAGTTCAAATATACAAGTTTCTGATACCCTTTTACACGATTATACTTTACGATGGGTACTTTACGACATGACTAGCTGCTCGCAGTTGGGTTAGTAGTTCACGATTTGGCTACAGCAATGTGCCTACATAGGGAGGGTACAAATCCCGTTAAAGGGTCAGTTTTAAAATACTTTCAGGCTTAAACAAACACACAACTGTTTAAAATGCGTGTGCATAACTGCAAGCCAGGGCCTTTTATGTTGAAATTTATGAATTTGACACATCCTTTTACTGAATGCATGATCTGTCAAAACAACGTAAGACGTCAATGTTTGCCCGAAGCTGTGCACTAAATATATCTCTTTCTACTGTCTGAAGTTCGATATAGGCTAAGTGGAAGTCAACATTGTTAACAGCTAGCGTTTGTATCATGACAGGATTAGGAGACAATGTCCTTCTTCTAACGGCTAATTTAACCCTTTGTTAAAGAAAACGAAAAAAGAAAATTACATGTTTAGTAAAAATATCAAAATCGGTGGAGACAATTGATTCTTTTGAATATTCATTTTCAAAGAAATTCAGTTCTTCCGTCACAGGTACTCCCGGTAAACCTGTCACAATTTTGACAAATTGTTCTCTTACAACAGCCGGCTTATTTACACAATATAGAAGAGCAACTGCATGGCCTGCAACATAGCAGATGATTCTTTGGTTCCTTTTACGTCTGTGATCCGTGACGACAAAACTTTTTAGCCAATCCCAGCAATTCGTCTCCTGGTGGCAGTTATCATTGTTTGAATTTTGATGAATTTCGTGACAAGGCTCGTTAAATTCAGACGAATTTATTTCAAAGATTCCCATTCAATTAAGATTCGATGGTTCTGGGACTCCTGTAAAACGTCTTTAGAGCGCCTCAAATTCGACGTCGCTCAAACGACGCATCGAATTCATGCATACATAATGTCATGTCTAATAAGTTATTATAACGTACGGAAATTGAGCCGTTAGGCTGTTTAAACGCCGGTTTCCTTCACTGCGCATGGGCACATGTTCGCTTTACCATCATTCTCAGAGCCCATCGCTTCTTTTGGTTGACTAAAACCGAGAGGCTCTGGGGACGAGAATGTTGATCGAGCGCCAATTTTGTTATATTCCCGCGTATAGTGGAAACAACATGGCCCTCTGGAGAAAACTTTGACTCCGAGCTGATACCGGGAGCTGTGTTAAGATTTTTGATCTCCAGTCAGCTCAAATCCGCCGATCATGAGGTCAAATATTTTTCAAGTCTTTAACCGCCCTCACTCCCATAACGGCCTTTTTGACCCTTGCTTCGCTGTATCTTTCTCAGACCACTACCCACCACCCTGAATCCAAACATTTTTCATCATTGTTATTTCCTTTTTAGCCGGTAATCTCATAGTAGGAATTGGTGAAGTCCTGGAGATCAATACAACTGCACCATCCATAGTTAATAACAACTGCCCCAGTTGTAATTACAACGCATCACATGAAAATAGATCTTCCTCAAGCTCGCATGGTGAACATCTCGCTGCCGTGATTAGGTTCAGTGGTAACATTGAGTTCAGAAACGGTTCAACAGTCCAAGTATTTGGAAAGTATGGTCTGAGTATAACAAGTCAGAATGGACACATCTTAATAGAAACTGATATTAACATGACGTGTACAGAGAAGGTGCTGGATGAAACATGTCTCGGTGGGTTCACACAGTCATCAGTAAGGCCGTTGGAAGATCTCAATAACCCTCCTAATTTCCTATATAAAGGTAAGAGAAGATGCTTTTATTTGCCTTTCTCACATTTGCATTTGGTTTGCTCTTGCTTTCACACTTACTTCCTGGGAGGTGGGTACAAGGTATAATAAGACGGTATAATTACGAACAGTAAATCGCTGAGTCTCTTTAAGGTTTAACATTCGGAGGTAAATTCATACTCAACCATGAGGCAAAATTGGTTTCCTTGGAAACTCAGTGTGATATAATCTGATAGTTTAGAGGGATTCAACGTTTTGAAATGCCAAAAACATTGGCTCGAACTCATGCCACATCTGAGGTCCGAGGTCATACCAGCTGTGACCGATTTATTACCACAATTTGTTTAGCGTAACAGGGACAGGAGGAATAGAAATCCATGCTACTAGGGAGGATATTTACATATAGTTATTAATCACTGCTTTGCTCAGGGAACAGGTCGTTTATGGCTGGTCTTCACTCATTCCGTGGCCATTTGAGTAACATTCAATAGTAAGCTCCTAGCTTCTTTAGCCTTCCTTGTCACTTAAAATTATATGCTGTTCTTTTATAATTAACACTTTTTTGTAACGTTTTATTGTTACGTTTTGTGAGTGTCTAAAAAACAAATAGAGAAAAATTCTAAATATGCTGATCTTCAAACCTTATACAGCCTAATTAAAGCTCATTTTTGCAAAGGCTATGTTCTTACAACAGGTAAATATTGCTTCAAGATCGCCAAATTCTCGTAATTTTAAGAGACAGAGATAAGTCGCGTCCTCAGTATTACTCTCCTGAATAGAATGCTAGTCCATCACAGGGAAGTGGCAGTCTGATTATTTCGTGTGGTACTTCTTTTTACAACTGGGCGGAGAAGGACAGAGTGAAGTATTATTCAATAAAAACCAAGCGCTGCTTGAATTCCTTCCTCCATTTCTAAAGTCCGATAAAATACCACTTTTCTTGTACTCTGACGACTGAATAAGACTTCTTGGTGTTGGCTAAGTTTTGTAAACAGGGGATTTTTAATGATTTTTATTTTCTTTACAGGTCTTGGTCCTGGTGGCCTCAGAAAAGCCATAGACTTTAATTTGGTCGTTGTTTGCATACCTGGTTCTAGTCATGGCGGAAGAGGACTGCCTCCGGGTGATTATCCCATACATTCAGATCAAGCATATGATCAACAGGACACAGTATCGCTATTAGGAGGAAGCGGAGGTGAGATAAACTATTTTAAAATCACTTTGTGGCTTTGATCTAAGTAATAATGAGGGCTGGAATGGAAATTAGATAATAAGAAAAAAAAACAGGAATAACTTTGGGCACACTACAATTACTGTACCTTACGGCATACTTAACGACAAATCAGGCCTATATTAGAAGAATTAACTGTGTTTTAACTACTTTTTACTAAAATTCTAGCTCAGTTAGTTCGAACGCCGATTAGCGCTTAACCCGGGTTTTCTTTCTTGTGTTCAAAAGCATTTTCTCGAATAATTTTCTCTGTTATATTTAGAGCTTTCAATTATCAACTTGTAGACAAAAAGGATTAAAACTAAAATGCTTTTTAAGCTTTCAAATCTGAATTCAAATCTGGCACTAACCCTGGGCTATCTTAACCCAGCTTTGAACAACTCGGCCCTGGAAACAGTTGGCTGTAAGTAAAGTACTCATGACTGTGAAAGGTTTCAACCCAGGAGTCATTTCATAAGTGGGATAAATATGATCGTCCAGGTGAACGTAGTCCTAAGTAAGACCGTTGTTGTTGTCATTGACTAACGTTTCGACAACCTGTGCAGTAGTCATCTTCAGAGTCAAAGTGAGTCGTATCACGTCAGTTGATGGTACAAAAATCTACGCCTAGTTGTTCGAAGGCCGATTAGCGCTAACCCAGGGTTAAATTTTAACCATGGTTTTTTTTCTTTTGTTCAAAAGAATTTTCCCAGGTTATTTTCTCTATTCTTTCTAGGCCATCCAATCATCAAACTGTAGACAAAGAGAATAAAACTGATTTTGCTTTTTAAGCTTTGATATCCGAATTCAAATTTCGCACTAACCCGGGTTATCGTAACCCTGCTTTGAACTACCCGGCCCTGGTTATTGTCCTGATTTGTGAATTAAGTCGCGATGTTATTGGCCATGAAGACTCGTAATGTCATTGGTGCGTTTCGATCCGTCTATTGTCACAGTTAAACAGTCGATTATTGTTAGTCAAATTGTCAGTTGTCTAGTCATTCCCTCGTAATTAGTTTTGCTTAAGTGCTTCGATAAGTCGTTTGTGCGGTGCCGATATCTGACTTCTCCTACAAGCAGCTGCTACGTGACTCAGTACATCCCATGATCAATGTTCTCGTACACTTTCGCATTCTCACAATGTTCACAGGGATTTTCAGAGTGAAACGTAATTGTCTACTCTAGGGTATTAATTTCTGTTTCCTTACTGTCGTTTTCAGTGTCATTGTGGCTCGCCTGGGTGTCTTTGGCTCTCTTCCTTTCTATCCGATGAACTTTCCACCTTACCCTCGTTCTCGGAAGTACTTTCTCCATTTTGGTAGCCTCATTAGAGACCTTTAGATTCTAGGACGAGAACGACTACGAGTACGAGATTTCACTTAAAGTGTTTTCGCTTATTCTCAAATAATAAGGAGCTTTAGCATCGACGACGGCAACGGCAGCGAAAAAGTCACTTTTAAAATGAATCCGCGTTTTTTCAATCTTTGTCGGGTTTATTCCAATTTCCTGAAAATGGAAAATGTAGGCGAATTTTCCTGTAGTTGATTTCTTGAGGACCGCACTCAAGTTTAGAAAGAGAAAAAAAGATTCGTCGTCGGTTGTTTACGTCCTCCATAAAACTTGCAATTAGGCATTTTCACGTCTTAGTCGTGCAAGGAAGGTAAAGAAATGTACAAAAAAGCGTGATGCACGTGGAAAGTTGTTGTTTTGCGTAATAAACCAATGTTTTTTTGACGTCCTCGTTGCCGTTGCCGTTGCCGTCGCCGTCGTCGTTGCTAAAACTCCCTACTGACTAATAGACACCCCGGATAGCCTCATTGTACGTCTTTTCACCAAAACAAATTAGCATTGTTTTCTTTATTGAAAGAGATTAAGATATCTCCCGGCCGCAAAATAAGCAGCCTATAACACTTTATAACTTGTGTCCGCTAACACGACATTCTCGCTAAAACTCGTAGTAGAATGACAAAGACTATCATTTTTTTTTCCCGCCAAAATGACGCTGGTTCACGCGAGCGCACTAATTCAGTAGTATTGAGGAAATCTCGTACTCGTAGTCGTACTGGTTTTAGAATCTAAAGGTCTCTGTTCTTTTTCTATCAAATCCATTCTTTGTCATTGATTAAGCCCTTATCGACTACAAACTCCGCAAGTCCATCTATGAACACATTTAACGCACGAGGTTTGGTCACATAATCGTTATGAGGAACTAGCGTTGAACACACTGAACGAGCTCGGTAATGTTTGTCACGGAATTATGGGTTTATTTCGAAGTAACCGTCCACGGGGAGGCCAGAATAGAATACCTCTAGAAGCTGCCATGATATATAGAAAATCAAAAGTATGCTCTTTACATACCGCTTAAAAAAAATTTTTTACCATTTAATGGCAAAGGTTTCAGGTAAGTGATAAAAAGAAAGGCATTGCTATAAGGACGATCTGTAAAAGAGTCAAAGACCCCATAGAAGATAGACCATCTAAAAAGTATTCATATCTTAAAAACTAGTTTAAAAAACAAACAATTAAAAATGTAAAAATGCATACGGAGATATGTACAAAAAACAATCAGTACAATAATAATAATAATAATTAAAAAAACCTCACACATTTCCACCTAAAAACTACCTCACTCCTTTTTTAAAACTAACAATAGTTGTTGCTTGACGAATAGGCAATGGTGGAGTGTTCCACATGTCCACGATGCTACTGAAAAAAACTAAATGTATTAGTTCTAGCATGATTCTTTTTAAGAGTACATTCATCTTTTCCCCTTTAAGGACACCGATCAGAATCTAAGAAAAACTGTACATATGTAAATAGATCAATGTTTATATAACCATTCAGGGCTTTATACAGGAATAATACGTCAAATAAAAATCGCTATATTTGTTCTAAGGACAACAAATTGAGCTTTTTTCTCCGTTGTTCGTAATCATCATTGGTCTTCACAATAAACTTGGTTGCCCTTCGCTGAATTTCCTCCAACTTAGAAATATTTCTAGATGTGTGTGGTGACCCCAGAACACTGCAATACTCTAGCTGTGATCTGACCTGGGCAAGATACAGAGTTCTCAATGTGGAAACATCTTGAAATCCTCTGCAGGTCCTTTTAATTAGACCTAGGGTATTGTTGGCCTTATTCGATATTTTATCAATATGAGTGCTCCAAGACAGATTGCAATCGGTAACCAAGCCCAGATCACGGAACTCAGATGTTACCTCCAGGATCTTATTATTTAAGTGTAAGTGAGAGTGAATAGGTGTTTTGCTTTTAGTGATATGCATTAGTTTAAATTTCTTCACGTTAAATTCCATGAGGTTTTGTTGACCTCATGCACATAAATTGTCGAGATTTGACTGAAATACGGAATGATCAGCTAGACAGTTTATTATCCTACATGTTTTACAGTCGTCAGCATATAATGACACACAGTTTCCAGGTATTACTACTTCAAGCAAATCACTAATGAAAATTACAAAGAAGAAAGGGCCCAATAAGGAGCCCTGAGGTACCCTCGATGGAATAGCTCACCCTGTAGAAATCATTCCTTCTATGAAAACTCTCTGTTCTCTGTCGGTGAGATAATCCTTACACCAATTCAAAAGCGCACTGGAGATACCAAAATTACCCAATTTTTTTGCAGCAGGATATTATGTGCCACTCTGCTAAATGCCTTTGCAAAGTCCAGGAAAACAACGTCCACCTGTTTGCCCTCATTCAAGGTGGACATTGATGGACATTGATGCTAACTGGGTAGCACATGAACGTCCCCACACAAACCCGTGCTGCCAATCTGTCAGATAAGGAGCCACATGCGGGTATACAGCATTATACACAATCCTCTCTTGACATTTACTCGGAATGGATAGTAATGAAATAGACCGATAATTTTTGACTACATCTTTAGCATCAGCTTTAAAAACAGGAGTAACATTAGCTCGCTTGGAAAAGACTACTCAAAAGATCTTTCATCGTTGGCTCTTTATTACCGCTTAAGTCATCAAAACTTCCACTCTTTTATTTTTCACTTTTGTGCTCTTTGTCAACCAAATCTATGTTTTTCTTCATCTCGACAAGTGCCGGTGGAAGGGAGGCTTGGAATAAGTAACTTATAACTTCGTTTCCTCTTTTATAGCATCAAAAAACCTAGGCTTGTAACAACAGGGACCACCCACTTGTCCTAGAATTCGCTTCTTTGTAAAGTAGGAGACATTTTTTTTTTGCTAGGTCTACTTAGGAGCCCCTGGTCTACTAGAGCATCTTTATATGATAACAATAGGACAATTGCACGATGACGTCATTTTGCTACAACTACCAGAATCCTTGAGTTTGTTGTTTTCTTGTGCAAATTAAGGCTATTGTTCTTTAATCCTCAGCGGGATTGAGAAATTTAAATAACAAAGCAAAACCGAAATGAATTCTGGTAGTTGTAGACAAATATCGTCATCGTGAAATTGTCCTGTTTCCTTGTCTTCGGGGATTGGAATGTATTTCTTAAGTACATTGGACTAATGCATGCATGAGTTATAGAGTGTCTGTTCGTAACAGAACTGTCGCTGATGAACTGGACTTACAGTTGAAGAAAATCACGGTTGTTCTTCTCGACACAAAACAGTGTTACCACAAAAGAAGTACGAGACAGAGTAGTCAGCTGAACATTCCGAGATGCCATCGAGCTGTCGGTCAGCGGTCATTCTCCTACCGAGGGGTAAAGCTTTGGAGTGGCATCAGTGATAATGTTAAATCTACCGACTCAGTCAACATGTTTAAGAAGCGACTTGTCAAACTACCTCTTTCCAATCAAGAGCCGGATTCGAAATAACAAGTTTTATTTCATTTATTATTTTTATTTTGTAATTATTATTTTTATGAATTACTGTTATTGACTCCTTCTTCTTACAATTTTCTTGCCTTATTGTCCTGTAACTTAAAAGCCCTTCGAGGGAGTTGAAATAAAAGAATGCGTGAATGTAACTGTAATTAATTAGCTCTAATTTATAGCGGAGCTTCACGTTCGCGCGCGCGAGCGGAGCCCATCCCTAAGAAAATTTGGTAATCTATCTATCCGAGAAATTTTGTTAATCACGTGATCGACTAACCATACGCCCATCCACCCGTCCGTCCGTACCACAGGGAGACCAAAATGTGAAATGTCTAATTTTCTAGCTGATAATAGACATCCATTTTATGGTCAATTGACAGCTGTCAAAACAGTATCTGCTTACCAGTGTCACATGATCGCATCGCCAGCTCAGATGCCAAATTATGGAGGTCGTGTGTTTTTAAAGTTTTCCGCTGACCAGTTGCTAGCTATTAAATTATCGCGGGCGTTATGTTTTTAGTCATGGTTTTTCCGTAAAGTTAAGCATAGATTTGTGGTCTTTTCAATAGTTTAAGGTCCATTGTCTGCAGTAAATTTAAAATGCATAAACGGGAGCTTCACTTTTAGCTTTGGCTGAATATATATATTCGAAATGTGGTGGTGGTGAGGGAAAACAATAGAAATGTGGCGCTGGGGGTTGTGGAGGAGAAAGACTAAGCCAAAAAATCTTTCGGTGGTAGAAAGAGCCAGTTTGCCTTCATCCTCCTTACCATGTTCAATTTTCGCGCCAAGAATCAGTGAACCGGAACCATTACTATAAGCTGTCTACAATGGACAATGACGGTGGCGCGAAATTGATCGTTTATGGTTACTCTACTGCTCAGTGATGTTAATTCACAAGCTTATTCCCTAGACAACATGATTCAACCAATGAAAACTTTTCTTAGCTTCCAATCGACCAATCAAAAACTAAGACTGAGTCATTGCCCTAAAAATTACTAGAAAATCTTTCAAACCGGTTAAAGAGCATAAGAACATGACAAACAGGTTCAACCGGTCAAGGTTAGGTGAGACTATTGTTTCTATTGTATTAGAAATACACAAAAGGGAAGACAATGATTATTCATGAGATAAAGACAAAAAGCTATGACGTCATCGACATTCAAATGAAGATTCGTCCCTTAAAAGGTCGATTCGGTCCTTACTATACTACTAAGCCTGAAAATATCCCATCTACAAGAAAAGAATACAACAAATAAACTCAAAAGAGAGTTAATATAAGTATGCAGACAAACGAATGTTATCTATCAGTGGTGAAAATAAAAACTTCTTTGTGATAAAATGTTTTAAATTTGTATTTTTGATGTGATTTTACCTTCTTTTAACCTTAGGTTCATGTGCTCATCACACAGAAAGTGTTGCTGGTGGAGGAGCCATTGAAATTGTAGCAGATAAAGGATGCATAACCATAAGTATTGACCATTAGCAAATTCTTTGTAAACTATTTAATATGTAACTTGTTAACAACGTAGAACCCCAAAAGGCTGAAACGTGCTCAAGAAAAATACAAGTCTGATGACAACTGCTACAGGAGCAGAGATAGTGCTCGGCTTCCAACCATCATTCTGGAAGACCTTATTGAGTGAATTGTTTATAACTCATTTTTCTGATTTCTATGCAAAACGGCTAATCTTTTACTCAGAAACTGTGTTTTAATCGTCCTATCATCCTGTATCTATCTCCGTCTTAAAACTGCTCCTTGAAGAAGAATCTTAAATGACCCAATTAGCAGAAATTCAATATTCCATTATCAGCCTGTTCACTCCACGCCTTCTGGAAATAAAATTATTTCCTTTTATCATTTGTTTTATTATTTATTGATAAGGAATATATTTCTTCGATGACACATTTTATTTCAATACTTTTTAGATGCAATCATCAGAGCTTCAGCTCAGCGTGGAACAGTCGAATCATGTTCTGGTGGATCTGGTGGACTTATTCGCCTTAACGCTTCTCAAGTAATCCATGACTTTAATGTGTAATTTACAGTTAGTTATTATTTTTCTGTCTTGTTTTTTCTTTTGGCAGTAGGGTTCCTAAAGGCAAATTTTGACTATGCATCTACAACAGTCTGCAAAAATTCGCAGTAATTTTTTTTAATAGCAGCGAATTTTGACTGGGTGTAACTACAGGACTGCCTCTTTCGCAGTTACCGTAAACACGTATGTAAGCAACAACCTCAACTTTTCAATAGAGGAGCGGTTCTTCTCTGTGTTAAAAAGGTGTACATACGTCACAGATGATGATTTTAAACTATAGGAGAAGTTCGACTCTGTATACATGGCAAAGTAAAGCTGTCTCAAGTAACAAACAAAAGAAGTAAAAATCAATAGAGGAGGCCTTTTCGATCCCTTGAATCCCCGTTACTTCTTCAAGCCTCGTCTTCCATTTTCAGACGGAGTAAGGTTGTTCGGAGGCTGAAATATCAACATTTTCAAGCGACTTGGTTTTGGTTAGCCTGGAATTCATCCGATTGCTTCGAGTCGTTTTCTCCTCTCAACAACGTCTGAATCGACCGGCCGTTAATGCCGTCCAGTGACGTCACTCACTACCCGAAAACCGGGTAGTGATTTTGATTGGTTGATTGTCTAAACATTCGCATAATTATGTATAATTATGAAAAATTTTAGACGGATTGTCGCTTGATATTCAGCGGATCGCATCCCTGGTGTTCTTTTGTTTAGTTCAAACATTTCGATAAGTTTAATCTTTATCTTAAACAGTAAAATTGCCCTTGTCTTCGAAACTGACATGGTAAATTGAACTGCGAATGAAGAATCATTGCGGAGAGTTTGTAGGTTTTTCATTTAGAGCCGCTTTGTGGTTTCGGCGGCCGGTGATTTTGTTGACGCGAAGTTTTCTGAGATCAATTTTATAATTCGACCTTCTTGCTATTTTTACCGTCAAGTGTAATGATTCTGTTAGCTTTTCTTTCTTGTCTCCTCGTTTTTTTTATTCGTTCAGGACCAAATAGCTTCTTTTCAATTAAAGCAAATCATTGTGTTTTTGAACTAAGTGTTCCGTGTGTGTGTTTATTTCATTGCGTGATCAGCGAGCGAGTTTTATTATAGAATTTAGTACAACCGGTTCAGATTTTTACTGCGTGCAGTTGATAGTTTGAACGTTAAACGTGAATTACAATCGAATAAAATAAAGCAGTTCTGTATCATGCAGACATTTCCAAACGATATTTTCTCGGTTTGCCACTTGAAAATCTTGTTTTACTTTTTGCATGAATTAAGGCAACGGTCAAGGAGTAGTGACGTCACTGGACGGCATTAACGGCCGGTCGATTCAGACGTTACTGAGGGAGTAATAACGACTCGAAGTAATCGGATGAAATTCACGTTAGGTTTTGGTGGGAAGGGTAGCGGTCGAAACGCGAACACAGACTGATTTGATTGCATATTTTTTTGAAAATCAACAAATAGATAAACCGAGCACTTAACAAAGCAAAGTTTCTAAGGTTACTGAAGTCATACTGCAAACTTCATTAAAAGACTGTAGCCATCATGATTTCGTAAGCTCCACATTCTACAGGAGCTTTACTTTTCGAATCCGCAAAACTACTACTACTAATTTTTAATTTTATCTTCACGAATTCTGCCATCCCCTTTTTTGAATAAAACTCTCACAGATACTTATTGCAGATTCTACTTTAAGAAAATGATTGAGTCCCTCTTATCACAAAGTTTAGTCTTATCCCAGATAATGGGTCTGGAAGTATTTAGGTGTTACCTTGCTCTACTCCTACGAAGGAGAACAAATGTTAAAATAGATCTATTTACAACTCAGAAAGGCAATGATTTAAACTTTGCTCTTATGGCTTAATTATAAACAGTTAAATTGAAGGTACAACATCGTCAGAGAGTATGTCTGCGTTTTTTGGGAAAATCGCCAAATCCGGATATCCGGATCCAAAAACGAATGTTCCTTTTTTGAGAAATGACAAGACAATAAAGGTCTTTCCAACGTTTTGGTTTTTGAACTTTTTACTTGTTGCCTGATTTTATACCTAATTTAACCATGATTTTCATTGCTTTATTTTCTTTAGGTTGAACTAAAGGAGCAAGGAAAACTCATTGTTGATGGGGGAAATGGCAAAGAAAAAATTGGAGCAGGGTCGGGTGCACCTACCGGTTTGGGTGGTGGAGCAGGTGGAATTATACAGATAATATCACCTGCCGGTCGCCTGCCACCTAAAGTTTTATCTCTAAAACGAGGCACAACATTTGAGCGGTGCAAGAACCAAGAGGCAGAACATGGATATTACTATTTTGTGGGAGGTAATTTCCTTTAGCGGACTGTCCAGAAATGTTTACTCCCTGTTTGCCCCTCACTAGTTCAAATGAGTATGTACGTGCTGTTGGGCAATACATGAAGCCATTTGCTTCAACTCCAAACACGACAAGCGGGGGGGGGGGGGTTGTTGAAGAAAAGGGAAAGTGATCTGCGCTGTCATAGTTTCACCACCGATGGAGATCGAAAGCGATTTCAGTGCAAACAAATATTTCACAAAATATGACTTGCTATTGCCTAGGTTAAGAATCCTACAGCCAAAACCCGTTGGCAAAGCAACATGTTTTATTGATAAAAAGAGATTATTGTCATTGAGCTGGTTCGAAAAAAGTTGTCTAATATGATACCGGGTGTATTTTCTAAAAGTATACGCGACTATTTGCCGCCGATATTTTATCATTGCTACAATTCAGTGAAGACCCGCTGGAAGCCTTTCATATTTGATAACCACTGTGTAGAATGTCTGACGAAGTATAAATAATAAAATAAACCTAACTGGTTTGTTTATTTACTGTCAGACAACTCTAGAGGGAAAAAAGTGGAGATATATCCTCCTACAAATCCATATAACTGGAGTTCAAGTCCGTCTTTGTTAAGTGCATTACGTTGCTTCAGCGTCACGCCCACCCACAAAAGTAAGTATCATTCAGCCCATCCCATGTAAGTTCGAGTTTGTGGCAACTTTTATGTTAAGCAGTGAAGTATTCTCCCTTTTTTCGTTTTCTCTGATTTCGATGTAGCAAGGAGTACATAATTATAAAACTTGCTTTAAAGTAAATGGTGCAAGTTAGATACGTCCTGTTTGGGGCGTTACACGAGTCTTGAATGGCAGTGTAAATACACTGCCTCATAGGCTCCTGGTTGATGTGGTAATGTGTTGTTTGTGTATAGTCTATCATTGGAAGAAGTTTCTGTGCTGCTAAAAAAACAGCAATCTTGTTTGGGTCACGCTGGTGAAAGGTACGTTGCGCTAGAATGACAAAGTGGAGGAAAAAAAAACACTGCAAAGTAGTAGCAAGATAACTGCTGCTTTAGGGTGTTGAAGCACACAAACGTATCCGTACGGTAGATTATTATTCGAATAAGGCCTATCAGAACGCGAATTCGGTGGCAAAGAACTGCGTGTAAGACCTAAGTTGACAGCTTTACTTTTAATCGATAAGCAAAGTTCATCATCGAGGTGTTTCACTTAGATGAACATCTCACAGGGGCACCCAACGAGAATATAGTTTAAAAACACTTAAACATAGCATTGTTCAACGTATTTTAAGATTTAAATGGTAGATATAGGCATATTTTTATCCCCTAAAAATTTTTCACTTGTTCGGATTTCCTAGCTGAAAGTCTAGTGATCCGAAAATTATAGGGATCAAAACTTACCTTTTCGAAAATTTCAGGAAGAAAAAAGGCTCCCGAGAATTCTAGGTGACCATTTTAGGGTAAAAAGCCTTTAAAAATGGGCAATTATACCATTTTTTAGATGTTCGAAAATCCTAGGAGAGGCAGGCAAGCAAGAAATTTTACATAAATGTTCCGAAAATTCTAGATCTCAAATCGTCTTCCGAACAGATATTTTCCAAAAATTGACGTTGGGAGCCCCTGATCTCAAGAGTCGATAGCCTGAAATCAGTACTGCAAAATTGTGGTTACGCGATCGGAAACGTTTGTCGACCCGAGGAAACCGCCTGCAGTGATGCAGGCTAACGAGCGGAAAAAACGACACGAATTCAACTAAACCCAGCAAATCTTCATGTCGATTGTCTATGTATGTCATCTGGAGGTTAGTCTCATGCGATTCATGTTATTATATTAAGCTAATTTTAAAGTGTAAAAGTTGTTTAAAGTGCTCTACACTTAAAAAGCTCCAAGTTAAAAAGAAATTAAACACGCTTTTAAGTGCAATTGCTAGGGACTGCAATGTGATTTATCCATACTCTTGTATTAACAAGTCACAAAATTATTCCTTAAATAATCAACAATGACCATCTATAATTTTCTTCATCAGGTTTTACAGGCACGACTTTCATTGTTACCTCACCCGTAAAAATTCCCACAACAAGTCCACTTCAGTCTTCTTCATTGGCACACGTAGCTATAACGGGTTTGTTTATAATTTTAAGATCTCATACTGACTCTACTATGACTTAAGGCTAATGTCTAATCAAATCTGGTTCATTAAAGTGTCAAACGTGGTTGACCCCTTGAAACATCGATTACAGGCTGATTTCTTTTGTTAAAGAAATGTCAACAAATTGAATTACTTTTCGCTATTCGCTGACATTGTAGGCGAATGCTTTAGATAAAAATGTAGAACTTAAAACGCCTAAGCCTCTTTCCTAGATGTTCATAGCGCAGCACGAAGAAGTTGTAGTGTGTCTTGCTGATGCGTCTACTATAGGGCTTACCCTAACTCATGAACGTTTATATCCAAAGGACACCACTCAACGTGGCGTAAAAGCTAACCATAGTATACTCAATTTTCGCATTGATATGCAATATCTACCACCAGTAACCCAACAGTGCATTGTAGTTTGCTATGAATCAGTCCGTTTCCAAGTTGATAATTTTATTGTTGGTTTAGAGTGTGCGCAAGATACGAGCTCGTAATGAAAGAATAATTCTGGAAATCATGCTTAATTTTTAATAATTTAAGATGCTAATAACATAATTCCATGATTCTCACATTTTTATCAGGTATCAGCACAGACAAAGGTTCGAGTCCTCTGCTAATGAATAGTGTTTGCACTTTAATGTATGTCAGTTGTCCGTATTGACTTTCAAGGTGGTGTTAATGACTTTGATGTTGGCGTTAATGAAAGTATATTTTTCTCTTTTGTATGTCGAATGACACAAATGAATGCCCAAAAATGTTATTGAATGCTGATTAAAATGCAAAAATCGTTATTGAATTTGATTTAGACGCAAATGTTCGCTTTTTCGCGCTAATGAATGCATCTCCGCGCTGTTGGTCGCCGTTTCACACAAATGAATGCGTATTTTCTCGTAATGAGCAGCAAAAGGTGAAATACACAGCCATTTGAAAGAGATGGAAATAAATATTCCTCTTCCTCGTTCTCCTCTTAAAAAGGGGCAAAGAAATTGGTTTCCAACGTCTTTGCGTTTTTGTGTGTAATCGCTCCACAATCGTGACACCGAACAAAGCCCTCTTTGATGTAATTTCTCTCCTCGGGGATCTGGTGATCGCATATTGGACTACTTTTGTAGTAATCGTGCCAAAAGCATTTAGGACATTTCATGATCAATGTCCCGTACACATTAGAGTTCTCATAATGTTCACAGGGATTTTCAGAGTGAAAGGTGGTGGACTTTTCCTGGCTACTCCTTTCTGTTTCCTGACTGTCGCTTTCACTGTCGTTTTCGCTCTCTTTGGTGCCTTCAGCTTCACTGCTATTCTCAGAAGCCACTTCCTCTTCTTCCTCCTCCTCCAACTGCTCCCCCTGATTTTCAATATCCGATGAACTCTCCTCATTATTACTCTCGTTATCGGAAGTATCTTCTGCATTTCGGTAGCTTTTTTCCTTTTCTATTAAATCACTTAGCAAATTTTTGTTCTTGATTAAACCTTTATCGAATCCTAACTCTGCAAGTTCATCTAGAAACGTATTCAGTGCACGAGGCTTGGTAACGTCATTGTTATGAGGGAGAAACACATACTCAACTAGGTCGGTGATGTTTGTGACGGGAATAATACGTTTCTTTCGAAGTTTACTGTAATTGTCCGTGGGGAGTCCAGAAAAGAATATCTTGGGAAGCGACCATACTATGCAGCAATTCAGAGGCACGCTTTTCCGACACCGCTTGGGAAAGATGACTTAAAACATCTTTTATTCTTGATGTAGCTATACCTATGCACCAAAACGGTGTAAAATGACCCTCTATTACTACTGATACATCCTGTTTTTTGACGTTGTAAGATTTAATTGGCAGTGTAAACACATTGCCCCTTTCAATTAGGCTTCTAGTTTTAGCCTCATTCGCTGACAAAGGTAATATGGTGTAACAAGAGAGGATAAAGGGGTCAGAGAAGGCATTCCCCATACACACCCTATTCTATAGGTAATTCGTCTCGAGTTATTTTTAGAATCGGGATAAAGTTACCTCGCGCGCTGCGTGGATGTTTCGTGGAGGTTTCGCATGACTAAACGCCCTGCAAAACATGTCGGGCGAAAGGCAATGAAAGCGTAAAGAAATCGAGAGCATTTCTGAATATTGAAGCGAAATGAGTCGGCGCTCACTTGGGAAACGGGAATCGCTGGACTCTTTGAAAACCCGTGAAATCAGTTTAACTCGAAGTTGTCGTAGCCTCAGTGCTTTAATATAATGAGAAATTTCGCCGGTCTATTGAAACCGGTCGTCTGTATAATAAAGCAAGTAGGACGCTAAGTGTTATTTTTGTTGAATAACAAAAGACTAATAAAAGAATAAATATCAAACCAGGAATTGCTCTCTTCAAACTGTAAATTATTAATGATCCTGAGAGAATATTCAGTATGTTAAGGATTTCCCTGCTGTGTTGTTAGCTCTCTACATGAGGGCAAGGGCGATTCGTTTTTAATTTCCGGTTCGCTGACACAGCTTTAGCAGAAATCTCTCTTTAGTCGTTTCCGTCGACAAAACAAATAGCAATATCGCTCTCCGAGTCTTCTGCCATTTTTTTCTGCGTCAATTCGTGAAGGACGCGTGGCTCTGAGCGTGGGTCATCGACCCGGAACACATTTGCGCTATATGATTGGCTGTTGTCTAATCCCCCTTGGGATCTATGGTCTTAAAAATAACTCGAGACGAATAACCTATAGCATAGGGTGTGTATGGGGGATGCCCTCTCTGTCCCCTTTATTATCTCTTGGGTGTAAACATTACTTTTATAATTGGAAGCAGTTACAATTAAAGAAAACAACGACACCGTACGTGAGTGTCCCGGAGGTGAAAGATGGTATGATTAATTCAAAAACAAAAGGGGCTCACGAATAAAAGATTGAGAAGAGAATTAAGCTCAATTTACTGGTAAGACGCACGTAGAGTAACTTGACTGATTCTTTTTACCACAACCATATTGCAGCATCGTCCACATTTCTTGCAATCTCATCTACAACATCGACCTACACTGGTTCAACTGTAAGTTGTATTTCATCTCAAGCAGTACCCACAACACCAGGTATGCACTTAACTGTTTACATTTATTTACATATCCATCGCATCACTGTGTGGCCTCAATATACACATATACATATAATTGTCCCGTAGGTTAAAGAAAGAGTCAATAAATAAAACGCTGTAAAATAGTATGATTAATTTAAAAAATTAATTAAAAAACAAAAGGGGCTTATGAGCAAAAGATTGAGAATTAAGCTCAATTTACTGGTAAGACGCACGTGGAGTAACTTGACTGATCTTTTTACCACAACCATACTGCAGCATCTTCCACATTTTTTGCAATTTTCCAGTACCGTTCATTGATCTTGTTTCCTTTCAGAAGTCTATATTGTTGTTTTTGTAGTCGTTGTTGTTGTTCTTGTTGTTGTTATCGTTACAATTGTGTGGTCTCGATCACAGAACAATTACTGTTAGAATCCTGTAGGGCGTTTTCACTTCACAATGTCACGTCCGCCATATCGGTATCCCAAAATAATGGAACAGCAGCCATGTTTGTGTCCCAAACCAGCCCTTTATTTGACTGTTGAACCTTTTCCATGGAACGTTCGTTTGTTCCAGTAATTTGCATACCTGTTGCCACATCAGGGAGTGAAAACGCTCTATTGGCGAATCTTTGTTTACATGTTATGTCTCATTAACTTATCCTTATCATACATCTTCTCAAGGTATTAAATACCATCTCTGAATTCTATTAGTCGCATTCCAGAATAAGAATAAAATTAGTGGTACTATGAGTGACTTATTGGCAAACAAACGCACACTCTCACTGTAGGACGATGGACACGTTCAATTAAACGATGCACGAGGTCTAGCCAAGTTTTAATTCTCCACAAACAATATTTAAAAACCATAACAGGAGCACAAAATACAAATGTTAATACTTGTGTAAATGTATATAAATTAATTTACAAATACAAAGGATGAAAAGTTGTAACTCGGAGTTTCACACACTAAGCGATGAGTACTTGGTGCGGGAAACTCTGAGTTACGGCTCATTATCTTTTCATTTGTTTTTCAATTCGCTCTGCATATTGGATGCATTGATCACTCCCAGGGTAGGTGAAACAATATTTCTTATCGTGTGTTCATTTTATTAATTTACATCATAAATAGCGAAATGTATTATTCAACCATCCGAAGGACAAAGTCTCACTACAACGTTCCACATTAACTGCTCTGCCTGGACTTCTTCCTGTTCACGTCCTTCAGCATACGAATTCCAGTACACGCTTCAAAATGGCCTTCATGGCATACTATATAAAGGGAATATGAGCAGCTTCCGTACGATACTAATCCATGGCATTTCTAACATAACTACGACAATCCGTTTTGTAAATGGAGCAACAATAAAACAGGAATTGAATGTCTTGGTAAGGGCTTTTTAGAGTGACGGTAATGCCTGATGAAGGTGTGGCTTTTGTGAATTATGGACTCGATATGTGTATGAATACTAAATGTAGATATTTAACTAATTAAGATCACAGTTATGAACTGAAGCACACACTACCAACTCCGCGGTATGGACAGTACCGTATATCACCCCAGCAGAGCAAGGTGGCAGACATGGACAGCTGTTTCGTTCTTGTTACGTCTCATCAGCATGGCATAGCCAGCACGGTCTCACTTTTACCCCCACTCATTGACTCGACGGCTATGACATGCTGATTTGCCCTAATGAGGCAGCTGCCACTGCCGGAGTGATATGGTTTTGCGCATGCGTAAGGTACTAGCCATACCCCGAGTTGGTGCGTGTGCTTCAGTGCATAATTTGATTGTTAACTAATTACCTTCAGAATAGGGCGACAAACATCTGTAAGATTTATAAGTACTATTTTACCTTGAATCATGGATAACAGAGACCCTTGGTCATGTCAAACATCTTAGGAACCCTTCCAGCCCTGATAAAAAATAAGGGGCTGAGTGCGGTCAGCAATTAGAAAAAGTACTAAATTAACAGAACTATCCTACTTCCATTAACTGGAGAAGACTCGTCCACAGGTCGCTTTTTTGATTGACGTTGACTTAGCCAAAAGGGCTTTAAAAGATTCTTTGTACTAAGCAGCAAATTGATACAGTCATGTCTCAAGGGTTCTTTTTTTGGCCGCTACACTGAACTGTTGCATTATAGTGTGGTATTCACATTTAAATGATATGTAAATTCCTGAAACAAAACGTTTTATTCCCAAATGGTTTGAATTAGGTACAACATTAAGTTAGCCGAATAGGTCTATTGAATAGAAAACAATGGATTTTTAAAAGGCCAAATCAACAGCTACTTCGAGGAAAAATAATGTTACAGTTACAATGGGTTTCATTAAAAAATAAATTTAAAAAACTATTTTATCATTCACTAGGTTCGACCGTCTTCTTCACAAAAATGCGATGAATGGATTAGGAAGTTAAACCAGAGTGAGAATGCAAGTTTGGTTCTTCTGGTGATAGTAGAACGTTTGACATCTAATTACACTGATCTCAAAACATGTCACAAGGTTAGAAAGAAATCTGTTCTATTTGCGGAAAATCTTCCAAATAGATGACTACTTTCTGCCCACGCAGTAAACTGGTACTATCAAAACTCATTGTTTTCGTGCGTCTTGTCTGCACCAACAACGTCTCCAATAAGTTTAACGTGCTGTAATCCTGCCAACCAGCTTGAAGAAGGACAGTATAAAACCGTGGTTTCCCAAGGGATCAGTTTTTAAATGACTTTTCATATAGAACAACAAAGACACTCATATTTAATCCAGTACTGAAAAGCAAAGTAGTGGTCAAAATTTTCGACTATCACTGACGCCAAAGGTTTCGCTATGTTGCCCGCTCAGAGTCTCCGTTTTAGAGAAACGGGAGGGCGCTTTGTTTGGGGAGAGTGCCAGCTATATCATAGAAAAGTCTCTAATAGTTATTGTTGTCTATTTTGTTTTAATTCAAACTGTAATCGTCTTCTTTCACAGATTAAAACGCCAATTTTTCATTTTCTTTTAACACAAAAACTGGAAAACATCAACGATCTTCTTTCGATTTCATTGCTCATTGGTTCCATAGCTGATCGGCTGGAAATAAATTCGACTGATTTAGTTGTAAGTAAATGACAGATAACAGATAAAGTACTAAGTAGGTACCTTGAGAACATGATTATTCTGGGCAGATTTAGGAATATCATTTTTCACTTATTAGAGAGTGTGTTGTGGGGGAATCTCATTACCTTGCAGGGAATACATAACACCGATGACGCCATAGCCTTTTCTATCTTTATCTCATGAACAAAATGCGGGGAAATCTTATTTAAGAAATCCGCCCTATCCTTCAACAAACTACATTAATTTATTATCCTGCCTCTACTTCATAGAATTACTGTCAGCGGGCCCCAACAAAAAATCCCTTAAAATTCCCATTTCGGCCAATTCATTTCAACTTGACTGTGTTCTATTTTCAACGACTGAAATTTTGCAGGTATTGCATATGATTTTGCAAAAACTGGTTGCAAATGTGCGCGAACGGTTTAGAGCAACTACACCAAAATCTGGCTCAACTTTGACTCTGCTGACGGAAAACATTATTTACACCATTGGAAAACTATTGAAGATTAGTTCAGGAGATGCTCATTTCGCAAATCAAGACAAGCCCCCTACATAAAATGGTATGCAGTAACATTAAGTTTTATCTTCGAAAAAACAATCCTTAAAAATTATCCAGAGGGAGACCTTGCCAAGTGCAAAAACGCGACTGAATTGTTAAGTCGCGTTTTTGAACATCTCTCCGCAGCACAATTTTGCTAACACATCCGCTTTCCTGACTCTTTGACTAGTACCTGAGTATCACCAATCGTTTAAAGATTTGTGTGTGCGTTAAGTCGGAAACATTTCCAACGTAACGTAACTTTGCCCAACTTATTAGAGAGTAAAAAGAGGGAAAAGATATTTGCAAACAACCTCTGGATAACTTAAGTCGTCTCAATCTGATAGCTCACTAGCTCATGCGTTCGTGGTTCCGCGGACGAAACACTAAAGACAAACACACTATCCACCTACATAAAAGTTATTTTCTTCCAGGTGACACCACCCTCACGTATCCTCGATTCAAGAGGCGCCCCAATACAATCAAAACATTAAAAACCCTTTTTTACTTCTTTTTTTTCAATCAGGGGATCGGTAAAACATCGTCTTATGCATTTGTTGACCTAATTGCCAACATTTATTGAGCGAGCCTCTGATCAATTTGTCGCGTCCTTGGGAGCAGTTTCTTATTTTCACCCACTAGGTAATTTATTTTCTAACTTTGTTTATATTCCCTACTCAGAAAATCAACACTACCGAAAAAATCCTATCCTTGAAGAGTCACATGATTGAAGGATTTCGCCTATCATTGAAAAAGGACCCAGGAAACATGTCTTTCACATCGAAATATCTTAGCATAACGGTGGTTTCTATACAAAAAAAAGACATCCACCATGGTTACAGACTTGATGCACATAGAAGCAGCTTTATAATCCCCGATCTCAACAAAGTCTTGAGCAAAATGAACGACAGCTACGTTCTGTTTTTAGAGGTACGATAAATCCACCTTCCGTATTTTCGCTATATTTTTAACATTGTTGGTCAGGGTTGTATGTGTTGTGAGCTGTAGTGGCATATGGAAAAATTTCATTATTTGAAGGAAACAATAACTTGGTATTAACTTTACAGGGAAGCCTATTCGACAACTATGTTGGTTATTGAAGACAGACTAGCGCGCGTATTTAGTAATTAGCTCAAATCACAGATTCGATCTACTAAAATTGGTTTCTCTTATACTAGTTGATGATGATGAAGATGATGATGATGATTATTATTGTTATTATTATAATTATTACTTGTATGATCAAATTTAGAGTTTACCGTATAATTTTTTTTATGGTGAATGTTTCTCTCCTAGATGTGGAGTACACCCTTCAATCCCTTTACTTGGGATATAACCAGCAAAAGGGTAACGACAGATGTGGCGAGTTTAGATGTTCGGGATGCGGAAGGGAAAAAGATCCTCATTTCTGGTCTGACACCAGGAGTCATTATTTTACTACCTCTGAATCGACAGACAAGTCATCCAGTAAACGTTTCTTTCGGAGCAGATAGAGCTCTCAGACATCACAAAATAGAAACTCTGTTTGAAAATTCCATGGTTAAAATCTGGATAATCCTTGAAGAAAGTGACGTTGCCGTCTCCTCCATAAAAATAGCGAAACCTCTTGAGACTTCTCCGCCCCTCGAATGCAAGCGGGTACGGGGTGCTTGGCTCAACAGCGGTAGAATCACATGTGAGGGAAAAAATCAAATAAAAATCTCTTTTACGGCATTCGATCCTGGATATTATGTTCTCTATATGGACTTCAAAGCCGTTACAGAAAGTTCTGGAAACGTTGATGAATGGGAGGGTAATGACAACGGATGTATCAAGATCAGACAACCTCCTTCAAGCTCGAAGAAAGCGAACGTTAGTTACACTTTTGAAGTGAGCGAATCCACTTGTCTCTTTTGGCAACAAATTCAATCTGAATGGAGAACTACTGGATGTAAGGTAAATAAATTATCTTGTTTTTAGAGGGATACAGGCTTTGAGGCCGCTCTGACCCGAAAAGCGTTCAACTCAACCCGAAATAAAAAACGAAATCCGTTTTAGCTTGCCTAGGGCTTCTTTAGATCTTTAAGTATTCTTTTACTCATCCTATATTATCATATTATTGGTTAGAAACAAAATGAGTCGCATAGCTTGTGATATGCAAATCAGCAAAGAAATGGTATTTTTTATAAAGTGATTTACGTTTCCCATTTACTTTTCAATTCGTCCGCCAATTTCCTCTTGACATGAGACAATTACACCTCTACCTAGCCACGCATTTGAACATTTTTCTCAAGTGAAACAAAACAGAAAAGCCCCAAAGTTTCACTGAAAAGGACTCAAATAATTTTCCTATATTACTACTTTTAAGGCATTGGAAATTATCAAGGACTCTACACTTAAGTGCTCTTGCAGTCACTTGACGAGTTTTGCGGGAGGCTTCCTGGTACCACCAAATCAAATCAACTTTGAGCAAGTATATCACGAGTTAACGTCTCCAGAAGAACCTGGCAAATTTCTAGTTTTGGGAACAGTGTTAACATGTTTCCTTGTTTACTTGGTGGCAGTCCTTTTGGCCAGGAGAGCGGACATAAAAGATAGCTCGGTGGTAAGATATTTATATCCACGATTTAACCAGGTAGCTTAATAAGTTCAACGTAAGGCTTGAATAGCACTTACTCCTTATCCACTGCTCACTCTACCATTTAGTGGAGCCAACGGGGCAACAGGAGTCGACGTGTCACGCTTTCAGTTCCATTCTTCCCGGTACCTGGATTTTTCTCTCCGTAGTACCGAGCTCGTTTGTAATTACATGGCCAGTTGGTTTGTCTACCCCATAAGCTTAATTATTACGGACGACCCAAAGGCGACCGCAAATTTTTATCTCCAGCTTGCTAATATTCATGATATACACTGCACTTACGTAGCCAGAAACGCATTTGCTTGGACTTCCAGTAAGAATGATTGGAATGCATAAAACGCAATCTGATGAAGCGCGTTTGGACCTTCTATAACTTATAATTTGATGGCTAGCCTGTTCCAGGCGTTCGGATAGGGGAGTGCGGCGCGAATTAAGAGAGCGGTAAAAAACGGAGGACCCCCTAACTCACTCCCTCGCTGTTTGTTTCTGCTCTCATCTCTTTGCGCTATCCCCACGATCTGAACGCCTGGAACAGGCTATCTTATGGCATGTGTTTAGATCTTCTATCAAGTGAAAGTTACATAAAGCAGAGCGTTTTGACCTTAAATCGATGACGCCCACACTCCCTAATTGTTGGTTATTGCTAGCTCTATAATTACTTGCATTTGATTATTTGAATGGTGCACATGTAAACATATAAACAAGGCATTACTTTACTCCTGATTTCAGCTACAAGATAACAAATCCTTAAACAGTGGAACAGTCCAATCAGAAGGTTCAACATATCAGATATCCGTAAAGACTGGCGTCTGGCTTGGTGCAGGAACAACGGCCAACGTTTCGTTTATTATACACGGGGTTGACGGCAACAGTGGTACTATCAATATCTACCAGGATGGTACAGCCGGTTCCAAAACTATATTTACTCGAGGATCTACACAAACGTTTACAACGACTCTAAGAGAAGACATAGGAGACATTTATTCATTACGTATTTGGCATGACAATTCAGGCAACGACCCTTCGTGGTATTTAGATGAGATAGAAATTACAGATACAAGATCTGCAAACTGTTGGAAATTCATCTTTGAAACGTGGCTAAGCCTGGAGGAAGAATCGTACACTAACGAAGTTCTTCAAACTCCTCTCCAATCCAATCGCAACATCACAAGAAAAGCCATCAAAGAAATGTTCTCCAATGGCCACCTTTGGTTGTCGATCATAACGAAGATTCCAAATGACATCTTTACCAGAGTTCAAAGAATCTCCTTTTGTTTTTCAGTACTTTTATGTACAATGGCTACTAATGCTTTATTTTACTCCTGGGGAGCACAGTCGCCCCAAAATATAAGTCTGGGTCCACTAAAGTTTTCTGCGAGACAGGCGATTGTGAGTATCCAAGCCAATCTTATCCTCTTGCCTTTGCAAGTCCTCTTCCTGTTTTTCAAAAACACCTTGGCTCGATTGCAAGGAGAACGCACACGTCTTCGTTTGATATACATCACTTCTATTTTGCTTGCAATTATGACTACTGCATCCGCAGCTTTAACTATTTCATACGGTCTCGTGTGGGGGAAAGACAAAAGCCAAGAATGGATTTCTGCAGTCATCGCCTCTGTCTTTGAAGACATTCTGATTGTGCAGCCGTTTAAATGTTTTATTGTTGTCTCACTGACCGTTATGCTTTCTAAATGTAAATCAACTCAAGTATCCTCATATGAACCTCAGGAAACGCCATCTGTGAAACCAAGTACTTGGTCCAGGGAGGAATCAAACGTGAGGAAAGAAAGTGTCGTAAAAGCTAAACGTCGGTTATCCATTAGACAGGCAATCTTCTATGTAACCTTCCTGTTTGTTCTCGGAGTGCTTTCATATGGAAACAGAGATTCGAATGGGTACCATTTAACAAGATCTCTTTATGATCATATTGGGAATTTCACCAAGGTACAAGCTTTATTTAATTTCAGGGTCACTATTCTCGCAGTTTTCAATCACGAGTAAGGTCGATAAAAATTCTTGAATTGAGTACTAACAGTTCTAAAAGAGTGCAGGCCAGATTTAAATATGTCGTAACGTTAAGGGTTCTCTTAGTCGTGAAATAATACTGAAACAGCGGAAGCAGTAGCAGCAGCAACAGATGTAGGAGCAGTAATAGTGGTGGTGGTGGTGCAGAGTGATAGTGGTGGTGGTTGTGGTGGTGGGAGTAGCGGTGGTGCTAGTCGTAATGATACGTAGTATTTAACTTCATAATACACATTTGGAAACGTTTTTAAACAAAATCCTTTTTTCAGGTTTCAAATCCAACTTTGTTCTGGAATTGGATGGCCCATGACCTTATTCCTCAACAGTACTTCACCAACCAGCAAATACAACACTACACACTGCTCAACGCAGAACAAACGTCGACTAGGATTGGAATGATCAGACTGCGCGAGCTGAGAGCAAAGAAAGGCAAGTATCACTGAATAGCTGACTGAATATTTGAGTGGATTTTAATTAATGAGCTGTATAATGTGTAACAATGACTCTCCGTACAATTGACAAAGTCAGTTTTCGGACACGGAAGGTGTTGGAAGCTTGACATTCCATGGGAACACCATGACGGACAACAGTTCTTCCATAATCCCTAGCTAGACAATATATTACATTCTTTTCAAGAACTCGCCATCGTTTTATACATTCTGTTCAATTGTAATCAGTCACACTTTTCGCTATATAGAAAAATTTCATCACCCCCTTATCATTTCACTTCAGTCCCTGCCGAAGACTGTAAGTTAAACTTAGCGGGAAATCTTGTTTTCTTTTTTTAACCAGAATATCTTTTGAATTAATCTTTACTGTGGCTCATCCTGTATACGACCCATCCGGTCCCCTTTTTATTTATAAGCTGTGATCCATTTGTTGTTAGTGCAATGCCCGGTGCAAACGTTCCTTGACGTGGACTCAGGGCATCAAAGTTGCTACGACAGCTACTCCACCGGAAGGGAATCTCAAGAGCCGTTTCAATTGAAGCAAGCAAACTCATCAGTTCAGTTCCAACAATGTTCCCTTCCATGGATGTACCAAACATCAGAGGAACTCAACTCCTCCCCCAAATGGGGACACCACGCTTGGTATGGTGGGGGAGGATATGCTGCCGATTTAGGCTACGAGGCACACACTGCTTACACAGTCATAAACCACTTGCGATTAGGAAAATGGATTGATCGTCAGACAAGAGCTGTCATTGTAGAATTCAATTTCTTTAACCCAGCAATCAGTGTATTAGGTGTCTGTTCCTTCTTTTTTGAATTCCTTCAGACAGGCCAGGCTACCCCTTTGATGCACGTTGATTTGATCTCGCTGCACAACACGGATTCAATCCTCCAAATGTTTCAAGGTCTTTGCTTGGTCATCTTCATTGGAATGGTTTTCTTAAAATCAGGTCAGACAGTCATGGCCTTGCTACAACAAAGATGGCGTTACCTGCGAAGTGGCTGGTGCTGGCTTGATCTTGGACACCTTGCAACCTCAATTTCTCTTCTTCTCTGCAGCTTTATTAAGTCTTATCAAATTTCCAAAAGCATGCAGAAATTGCGGCACAACATCTTTGCTACAGTTAACTTTCAAACTGCAGTTTTGTGGGGAAATATCGAAAACTCTTTCCTGTCCATTGTGATTTTTCTTACAACCATCAAGATTCTCCAACTTACTTACTTTAATATGTATACACGTGTGTTCGCCCAAGCCTTGCGTACTTGGGTACGAGAATTCTTTTCTTTCTTGATGGTTCTCTGTGTTCCATTCTTTGCATTCCTACTCTCAGGCATGTTGCTGTTTGGAACACGAAATATAAGATACTCAAGTGTCTGGCCAGCTTTTTCTTACCAGCTGGAAATTGTTCTAGGGAGAGTAAAAGCTCGACCCATACAAGAATTAATTGAAGCACATTCCGTCCTTGGACGTCTTTTTGTCAGTACTCTTCTCGTTATTATAACTGTTATACTGATGAATTTATTCGTCAGTTCCTTGGACGATGCAGTCAGTGACGCAAAAAGTACAGTACAGATGAACACAGAACAAGAGTCATCAGAGACCCAAATTCCAAACAGAAGAAACGAACAACATGAAGTGAAGAATGTGCACTTGTCTTTAACTTCTGCGTTCTACGACCAAATAAGCAACCAGTTAAGGACCATCGACTTGATCCGTAATCTTCCACAAGCCTATGTCATTGATAAAAAGCTAAGTGAAGTTCTGAAGAGAATGGACGCTCACACAGATGGGGAACAATGTTATTTACTGCAAAAAGGTCAAATGTCCGAAATTGTCATCGAAAAACGAAGAAAGTTACCAACCATTTTGGAAGAATAGGTTCAACTCCTCAAAACGTGGCGTTATACACAATGCCAGCAAATCACCCATCTTTCGATGGGAGGGTGGTGGAGAGTATTTAAATAGTAACATACATTGCAGCTACTATCCACACTGTTAATCTGGTTAATGGCTATGACAATGACTAAAATGAAAGGTAATACTGCTACACTTTGGTCACTTTTCATAATGATGCCTTTGCTGACTTCTCAGATATTTTCATGATGGTGCTGTACTTACAGGTAGATATATCAATACGCTATTAAAAAACAGTTATTGTCGACGCCACTGTTTGCATGTTTTCAACTTTTCATGATGCTGCCTTTGCTGCCTTTTCATGATGAAGCTGTATTTATAAGTAGATATATCATTGCGCTATTAAAAGTGGCAATTATTGTAGACGCCACTGTTTGCATGTTTTCTATTCATCTCCTATAGAGGCTCTATAATTAGAGGCTCACGGCCTGCGTATGTTCAGAGTTTGAGACTGTTCTGAGTTGATATTCTCAACTGTCCGTCATATTGAATTTTAGAAATGCTGAGGGCTTTTTGTTGAAAGCAAACAACACTTTGCAGTCAAATCAGTTTTTTGATATTTTTGTGTCAGAGGTTCAAGAACCCAATTTAGATATAACAAAGACACATTAGATGACTTTTATTGAGCAATTTTATAGCGGATATAAAGTGATGGAATTTCCTAAATTTTTTTTCGTTTTTTTAAATTTTCTTTTCTTAAACGGTTTCCATATACTCTTCACCTAATCTTAGTGTTGTTAATTTGCACCTTTGCATGACACGTATTTAAACTGTACATAATTGTTATCCGACGTGACTTTTTTCTTGATTTTTTGTTCGTGTATTATAGTGTTTTTGCCCTTCAGTGTAAGCTATGCATAAGTAATATTTCTAGTAGCGTACAGCATTCATTTTTCGTGGTTATTACGATTATAGTAGAATCACCACCGGCACAACCTTGATTTATTGAGTCATTCAAGGTATTTAGAAATAGTTTAGTGATAACATTTATAAAAAACGAAAAAGAGCAAGAGTAGCGTGATTAAAATTTACATTAATCAGCAAAATAAACGATTCCTTGAGAATTTTAGTATCATTTCCATTTTATAACATGAGTACCGTGTATATATACCACCACAATCAGCACGGTATCCGAGTGATCAAAAATAGTGGCTGCATGCACGAGACAACTTTAATGTACGTAAACGACGCTGAGTGTCGTTGTTTGAGGTTTGTCAACCTGATAACGTGGGTCTACTAGAAAACGTAGCAGTTCAAGCTGTATAAATGCCACAGTTTCGCATTACGCTTGTACTTTCGTGATAGTTATGAATGGCCGGGTAATGAAACCTTTGAAAGTCTCAGAGACTCTATACATGGGTAAATCAATAAACATCAAGCGGTATCTATAGGCTGACCATTTCCGAATTTCCAAAACCCTCGCTTTCAAAATGAGGCTAAGCGCAAAATATTTCATTTGAAAATAACTTTTATTTGCATGATAATTAAAAATTAGTTCCTTATCAAAGACCTCGTACTTAAACAAACAAAAAAAAAAGACGCTGTGGCAAGTCGAAAATAGACGGCCAGTCTAATTCGGAGCACTTGCTAACATTTTTTGCAGGTTGATCTCTTTCTTCATTACTCTCCAAATTCCGTTTTCGCCTGATCTGGACTCAGCCTTGAAGTGGAGTCATCATTCTGCACCAGAAACACGGGCTTTCCCCCTCCCATTTCATATTATAAGAAAAAAGCTCTGGCCCCCTGGGAGGAGGTGACTTCACCTCCAGCCCTCTTCCTCAATATTTTCCGCCTGAAAAATAGGTTTTCTTTGGTCGCGCGTGGGACAGGAAGCGCAAGGAAAGTCTTCCCATTAACCAGTCCGGGATGGTTATCAAATTTGATAACCATGTTACGTCACAGCATGGCGGCCATTTCGGAAATCGGAGATTTTCGTACGCCGTTCGTGTTTTTCATTTTTTATTCGGTATTGCTCGCCTTATGTACCCATAAGTCTATTGGAGATTGGTGAAATAGACACCGTTCTTCAAGTGCAAGAAAGATGGCGTTCATCATAGGGTGATTGAAGCTAAATTTTTGCCCGAGAAGTGACAGGGCGGTTGGAATAACACGTTGAAATGAGGTATGTTTATCAACTTTGCTTTTAAGTTTAGGCTAGTAAAAGAATTTTGTCACAGTTAAAAAAATTATGGAGTTGATCTTCAAACTATTTCCTTTCGTTGCAACTGTTATTTGTCCGAATGCAAACTGCCGGGAAAAAGTGCGCGGGGTGGTCTTGATTTACGGTATAATTCTGTTACTAACCGCCATTTTGTGTTTTCAACGGAGCAACTACAAGTCACTATCCGCGATAATTTTACATTCTGCAAAGAAAACTGACGAGCTGGTCTCAGCGTGATACAGCATTGCAGAAAAACATTACACTCACGGACTATAGAAAATCGCTTAGATCCGATCCAGAAGGCACTTTGGAGAAAATTGGAACCCTTATTCAGCCGTAATAAAAAAGCTTTACGCTTCAAAAGACTGGTCAAAGAAAATGCGCTTGCAAAAAAAACAATAACTACAGTCAATCGATATATATATATACTTAAAAGCAATCGATATATATGTCATGACCTCTCAGTGTGAAACATGCGGCTAAAATCACATTTGCTCAGTATAAATGCAGAACCTTCCAGAGCATAATCTACCCCGGCAGCAGATAGAAACAACTTTATTGGAATAAGCAGCATTTTGGTATGAGGTAAAAGTCGTGTAGGCCTACCACCCCCTTTTATTGCAACTACAGAATACAGATTACCGGAAATGCCATGATTACCAATGCAGCAACTTGAATTGTAATAATTAGCACAGCGTTCATATCATGAAGAACATATGGTAATATTTCCAATCTGAAATTACGTGCGAGGGTTCGTTTTACATGAGTTATTACTTTTCTGTATATTTTTGTCAGGATGATAACTGGAAAGCCAACAACAACAAAGAGGACACCGGTACTTCAAAAGTGGGAAAAAAATGTCAGGCACGGCGGTGGAGCCTTTATTCCCTGTACTTGGAAAATCGAATGTAATGAAGAGTATATTGGAGAAGTGGAGAGAAGGCTGTCGCTAGTTGTTTCAGAAGTGGGAGAGGAAGGAGCAGATATGGTCATGGAGGTACGTTGAGTGCGTGGTAGTCTGTTTTTTGTTCAACTTCCTATATGTAGCTTACATAATTGTTGCGAGAAGCTTCAGTCATTCAAAGCCAAGCCAGTATTCACAGGGCTTGGCGCTGCAAACTTATGCGCTACAATTTCAGCCTCCCAATAATTTCCCCTCAGGGACCAGAGTTGTTTTTTAGCTAAGAACGATTTACAAGTAAGGTAGCAACACTTCAGGAAATAAACTCTGTCAAATATTACTTTTTAACAGATTGCTGGACCCGTATTAGAGACATGCACAAGCGCTGAAAACCTGGAAGCTTCGCCGTCCACCAAGAAAGCAAGACACTGACAAAGACTGAAAATGATTTAGATTAAGAATGATTTTGTTTTAAAATGATTAAATAAAAACCGTTTGCTAGAGAATATTCCTTACTACTTTCATTGTTTCATTGTATCATGTCATATTCGCTGGGTGCTTGTGCGGAGAAGAACCGGAGCCCGGAAATAAGTGAAAAACTAGCAAAGGAGCTCTGAAGAAATAAACGGAAAATAATTTTTAATTCCAAATTTCGTAGTAGTCCGAATTTTGTTCCTCTTTATTCGAACAATTTAAAATGTACAATCACAAATTAAATGGTCTGGTTAGGCCTCAGGACGCCATATTGAATTAAAAATTGTTTCATCGATAGCGTGTCACGTGAACTTGAATCTGTGTAGCGATTGGCTATTGGTTTGTTTTTGTCTGGGTTATCAAATTTGATAACTATCCCGGACTGTTAACTTAACCAAGAGCCAAGACAGATGTAGCCACCCTGCAGACGTCCTTTGGGGTTCGTTCGTCACGCATTCATTTCTTCCCCACGGTCTGAGGGGGAGAAATGAATGCGTGACGAACGAATCCTAAAGGACGTCTTCGGGGAGACTAAGACAGGTGCGGTAGAAACTCAAATAAGGCGATAAGGACTTCCGCCGCGCGTGTACATCGGAAGCTTTCGTGAGCCGACAACCTCGGGACGCAAAAAAGGGTGTCCGTAAGTGAAACTGGCCGCTTACGGGTTACTTTGAATGGGAGCTGAGAAAAACGGGGTTTTGTGAAGGCGGTCGTGTCGACGGCCGTGTCATTACCTTGGTTTACCTGTGCAGGCACACGCACTTTGATTCTGCCGCGCTAGAGTCTGGGCTCTACTACTTCAAAAAATGGCGCTCAGAATCACAGAGCAGTGGATCAGGGAGAGGGTCAAGTTGAAACACGATAATTTGGGTGAGTTTCCTTCATTAAATGCTTAAACTTTTGTAATTGATTTCATTTTTACCTTCTAGTGCCACGATTTCTTGTGCTTTCTATTTTAGCGCAATGGTTATAACGTTTTTAACTGCATTCCAACAAAGTTGCGTGTTTTCAGTTTGGTTTTGTTTGCATTGCATGGTCCAACTTGATGTTTTAGCTAGTACGCTTTATTTTATTTTATGGCATTTTACTTAATGAAGCTTCTCTCTTGCTTCTTCAGTTGCTCCAGACACAGAGTTATTACTACTTACATGCGCGCTTAATCAAACTACGCGCCAGTTTCAATAAAACAAACCGCCATTAATTCCCTAAAAATTTCGGCGACACCGTGATATGAACGCTGTAGCTTGATGATTGGTATCTGACGTCTTATTAAGACCAGTTTTGTTTCCCAAAATCCAAACAGTTAGCAAACACCTGTTACCGTAC